CCTGTGCAAGTGACATCACCACTGTTACCTGCTATAAGTATAAAATCCTTTCTTAGATCTTTCCAAGAATCTAATGACTCTCTCGTTACAGCGGGTAATGAACTAAGTTTGGCAGCTTCCGCCCATTTATTTACGAGCCCATTTGCAATTCCTTGCGGGTCTGGATGTGCAACAAAATTGTGTTTTTTACCACTTATTTTATTTACGTCTTGCCAGATTTCCTTCAAGTTTCTGTTACTCCCAACTTTCTCTGCAAATTCCTGCCAATACTTGCTCCTAATTTCATTTCTCTTCTCCCCACACAGCCTAGCAACTGCCAGTAAAGCATTCTTCCCTTCCTCAGTCCTACCATTCCTATTCCAATCCCTGTGAGCTCTCCTCATTGTTAATGTCCACCCCTTAAGCATCTTGTCATGTGTATAATTTTCTTTTCTGGGGGATGCCTTTTTATAGTAGATGGTTTCCGGTTCAATGTTGCATTAAATACATCTACCTCCTTGATTAAATCTTCATAAAATGCTTCTGCCGAAACTGGCTTATAAGTATCATACCAAGACTTAATATGGCCAACAAGACCCCTTAATTCTCCCTCATTAAACTTTAACCTTTTCCTCTGAAGGCAGGCATGCTTTTTATCTAGTTTAAGCTGTATTTGTAATGCAAAATGATCACTTAGCATTTCATCCACAGTAAGACAATTCCCCTCTATGCCCTCAGCATTTATTAAACAAGCATAATCTAATCTCCCTCCCCTCAAATGAGTAGGAGAGGGCTCGCCCAGCAGTTGAACATCTTCATGTTCCTGCAAAAACTGGTACCATTTGCAACCATTCCTATTTGCTTTACCCCTTGATCCTAAAGCTGGATGTCTGGCATTAAAATCCACTACCACAAGTGTATCTTCAGAAAAGAAGGAATCTGGCAAGTATCGTAAATCAAGGGAGCTATCAGAGATGTATAGATTAATGAAATTTAACTCTCGGTCCTTTAATTGTATCCGCAAGCTAATACTTTCAATACCTCTATATCTCTGAGGGATTCCAGTTATCTCGGCAGGTATGGTACTTTTGACATAACATGAGACCCCCCTAGTTCCTCCATCAGCATATAAGTGAAAACCTCTATAGCCATTTAGCCTCAGTATGCTACCATCCCTATCCCCAGTTTCCTGGAGTGCTACTATGTCAATATCACCATTTGGTCACCATTTGGTCCGGGAGACATCTCCCGTCACGCAGGGTGCAGTCGCACCTCCACAGATCTCCAGTATCATCTATTGATACTGGTGATGGCTCAAAAGGGCCACCACTTACGAGCTACTCATGCCCATGCCACCTTTTGGGTGGCTTCATGTTCATCTTAACACATTCACGGGGGAGACATCTCCCGTCACGCAGGGTGCAGTCGCACCTCCACAGATCTCCAGTATCATCTATTGATACTGGTGATGGCTCAAAAGGGCCACCACTTACGGGCTATTCATGCCCGTGTCACCTTTTGGGTGGCTTAATCTTCATCAATCAATGTCAATATCCTCTCTAAGAGTATAATAGTGTACATCCACCGCTCTAGTTTTTAATCCATTAATGTTCCAAGATAATATTCTCAATTTACTGTCATCCATGATTAATAATAAAACTACCTTTGCCCTGTCCGTCACATTCCATGAGATACAAGAGTACCTTAGAAACTTCCTTCCAACACCGTAACATTTTTTCTTTCTCCTCACCTTCACAACTACTACTAACATCGAAGGTAATATTTTTCATATCTATTTTCTTTGTTATTTCTGTAACCCGTTTTACTTTAACAGTTCTTTCACCATTTGTCACAACAGGAGGTTGAACACCGCTAACACTACTAGAAAGTGTATTCTCCTGACTATCCTCTATCATCGTTACCTCATGCACATCATTACTTTCTTCTACGCACGTTTCACTTTCCATTTCACGTCTCGTTTTACTTTCAATTACACGTCCTGTTTCACCACCATCTTCACCCCGTCCACCTTCCATAGCCAATTTTTCCAATGCCTCAATCCTCTTATCTAGTTTTTTTAGATACTCCAAAATTTGATTACCAACCTCAGAGGTGACCATATTGTCCTGAACCTTGTCGTCACAAGGTTTCAGTTTTTCCACTGCATGATGTACTTTCCCTAAGCTCGCCTTTACTTTCTCCGTCCCTTTTTCCCACACATTGATCATAGGGGCTGCCGTTGGCTTCCAACTGTTTCCTCCATGTTCCTCTTGCACAATTTTTCCTTGCTGCGAGGATACATCTATCCTGCTTGTAGGACCCGTTCTAGTCTCTTTCAGATGAGGCTTCATGGGGCATAGAGAGGAACCAGCATTGTGGCTGCCTCGACAGTTGCAACAAAATGGGATGATTTTTTCACTTCTTTCAATCTTGACTACACTCTCGCGAGTCGTGTTTTTTCCCATAATACCGACACCTGGGGTCAAACTGGCATTTCCATGCCATATGTCCCCAACGTGAACACTTCATGCACAGTATGGGCTCCTCAACGTATTTTGCAACGTTCCTATAGCCTAGTCCTTGCACAAAAATTTTCTCCGGCGCCTCACCCTTTACCAAGGCAACAACCTGGCTTTGTTTGTCACCACGAACACTGTTCCTCTTTGCCCAGACAACATTATCATTGTTAAGAAGAAGACAGTCAGGATCCAAATAAGTTGGAAACTTGAAAACTATGATCTTTGTGTGCAACATACCTTCTTCTGGAGGAACCATCACTACATTCTCAAAACCAACCGTCGTGAGGCGTTCCACGGCCTGTTCAGTCCCAACTGTTATGTAGGGCCGGTGAAGACCCTCCTTGAAAAGTGGTTCGTATTCCAAACATTGTTTAGCTAGACGTACCGTCCACTCTAGCTTTTGGTGGAAATTCAATTGGCATGTTGTAGGGAACAACAGCCTCTTCCTTCTTGTCTTGTCTTGAGTCTTGCTGAGTAGGGTCTCATTCTTTGGTCTCTTTGCAATCTCATCGTCACTCTCACTGTCTCGCTGTCTGTTATTATTTCTCCGTTTCTTTTTGTTCACTACGACTTCAAACGGTCGATTATCATCTTGTCTGTCCTCCTCACTACCACTTAGGCATACCGCCTCAGCCATTTCTTCGACGCTGTCAATAATCGAGAACAAATGTACAATATCATGTATCACCACGTGCAAAAACGAACAGTGTGGGGCAATCCTCCACCTCCCACCAATCAGCGGACGCCAAGAGTGCTAACCTAGCGACCGCACACAACCGTGGTCTGGATACAACTGTGTCCTCTGATGTCTCCCCCTCACCGTTACTCGCTGTTTCCTGTTGCTTAAGTACTCCCTTATCCACTGGAGCACCTTCCCTTTTACTCCTGCCTGTTGCTCCAACTTTTTTAACAGCCTTTTATGGGGGTACTGTGTCAAAGGCTTTTTGGCAATCCAGGAAAATGCAGTCGGCCCTCTGTGTGGCTCCTCTTGCATGATAGTATGATGATAGATGGAATTACTGGTGTCAATTTCACTTTGCCTCAGATCTACAAGATCTTGTTGAAGTTCTCGGTTTACTGCTCTCAGATTGCTCATTGACAATCCAAGGTTACACTCAACGGCTCCTTTAAAGGCAGATTCTTTGGCTAACTTATCAGCTCTATCGTGCATTCGGAGGCCAACATGAGATGGAGACCACACGAAATGGACTCTGTTACCATCCTTAATAATTTTGTTGTATTTGTGTCTCGCTTCGGACACGAGCATGTTCGTGTCATATACAGCGATAGAGAAAAATAAATAACTGATTTAAAACCATGTGTGGAAAACACTATGCAAATTAAGGGACCTAGTCTATGGAACTCACTCCCTAGTGAATTGAAAAACTGTAAAACTTTTGCCTTATTTAAAAGCAAAACCAAAAAGTACCTAACTTCATCTATTTAGTTTCCTACACTGAGCTTTAAATTTGCTCTGTACCTAGTGTTACCCAATCTCCTAATTTTTATGTAATATCAAACAACCTTATCATTGTGTTCATTGATGTCTTCTTTTATGTGCTAGCCATATGCTGTATTGTGACTACCAATTTTTGTCAACTACCATTCAAGCTGTCATTGCAATCAATCTTATATTGTTTCTGCTGTATTGTGCCTACCAATTTGTTGTCAACTACCATTTTAAGCTGTCATTGCAATCAATCATAGCTACCTATGTGCTTTAATATACTGTACCTATAATTTTCTCTCATCTTCTTTTTTTTCATTCCATGTAATCTGTTATCACTTTTTTGTCTATAAATTTTGCAAGTATTTACCTCCTTAAAATTTTCTTAGATTAAGGACCTGCCCGAAACGCTGCGCGTGCTAGTGGCTTTACAAGACTGTAATTACCATATTTGTATCCTCACATTCCTTATGTACATTCTTGTATATGCATAAATAAATAAAAATAAATAAATAAATAAATGCAAAATATGCATTACTTTTCATAATTGAAGAGCTGATTTAAATAGCTTAAAAGTTATAGCCAAATTTATTTAATTATTCCTCACTGCTTATGATTATACTAAACTCTTAACTAATGTCTTAGTATATTTATTTACAAATAAATAAAATAGGTATGTAGTGCTGGCGAGGTAAACATGGCAGGAGGCGGCTCCTCACGAGGTTGTGTTTACATCCCAATGGTGCACGTGTGAAGTGCTGGAGGAGGGCACGTTCCCACATGGCACAACGTCTCTCCTACGAACATTCAAGATACCTATGAGGGTTTTAAGAAACCACTGTTACATGGCACACATTTAGATCATGATTGACACCAGGTCTTAGAGGAGGATCCTGAGGGAGTTTTCCGGGACAGTAAACCTCACAGTAAGGCAAACAGATTAGAGGCGCAACGTCGCCATCATACATAGGTAAACTGAGACCATCCCGGGCCCACGTTGCCTGAGTATCAACATCCACCGCTCAACCAAGGTAGGCCGAGTTCTGGTGGTGTAATTTCTGCAGGCGGCTTCGTTTAGTTGCCGGCCTATGTCAGATTTGTTGTTTGCTAGGGGTGCTGTGCGGGTCCTGCCTGGAAGGGTAGTGCCAGGGCGCGAGGTTCCTTCGATCGTTGTAAGCCAGTAGTGCCAGATTCGGGGCGGCCCCTCCTGCGGAGCCATTTGCATCTGGTCGGCGCAGTAATCGCTCTGAGCATTGGTCGGGTTCTCATAAGGGTCGTCGGCCCTTTCACGGTTTGCCCCATTGATAGGGCGATGGAGGGGGAGGCTCATGCTGTTTGCTCTCGCCTGGTCCCACGATATATGGGTGTTCTGGGTCGTTTCCTCCAGCTTATGGTGGCTTTGGGTGGCTCCTCCTCCTTCGCAGATTTCAGTGGTGGCGGGGCAGGCCTCTTCCCCTGTGCTCTGTCAGGTCATCCTGGAGTGGTTATGCTTGAGCATGGTCGAAATGCTGGCATCCCTCGGGTAGGTGCCCCACCTGTTTCCGTTCCAAAACGGGACTGTGTGGATCTGCGGTTCGTTCTGGACTTGTCCCATCTGAACCCCTGGGTCTTTTGCCCCTTCCTTCGAATGACTACTGTGTCACAGGGCCCGCTTCTTTTGGAGCCAGGCACTTGGATGGTGCCTCTGGACCTCCAGGACATGTATTGGCACATAAGGATTCATCTAGGGTTCAGGGACTGGCTCGGGTTTTGTCTTGGAGCAGCAGGCCTACCACTTTCGTTGCCTTCCATTCAGCTTGAATCTGGCACCTCGCGTTTTTACATGCATGACCCGGGTCGTGGTGACCCGTTTGCATCTGTTAGGGGTTCGAGTTCAAGCAGATGCCAGAAAAATGGTGTTTCATTACATTCAACACTGTTTTTTTTAATACTTTGAAATACTACCTAATTTTAATTTGCTTTGTGCAAGATTTACCAACAACATAGGCCTCTTACACATGAAAGCTCTTTTGTTTTTTAACATCTAGTTGAACTCAGTAATTTAATACTTCTGCCAAAGATACAGTATATAATGAAGTGTAGAACACTTGGTAGGTTGTGTGATGCAAAACTGTAATTTATGAAGTGCATAAAATACAAGACAACAATGAAGAGTCATGAGGTCAGAGAATGGTACAATATTTGTTTTCATGAACAGAAACAACATCTTGGTTGTGTAAATATTGCTTCCCAACTTTGAACAAGCAAACCTGTATCCATGCACTGTGAACTTTGGCTTTATTGTAATAAGTTAATACAAGTCTGTAATATAATACAGAATTCTCAATTTGAGAATTCTCAATTCTCATAGTTGCACTATGCAACTAACATGCATAGTGTTTCAGGCAGGTCCTTAATCTAACAGATAAAGTAAGAGTAATAACAGATACATTGTAGCAGAATTTGAGTTCAACATAATAACTGTAATATAAATTGACACTTTTTTTGAACAGGTAATTTTTTTTGAAAATGCAAAATTTTTAAACCTAATACTGGTAGGTGTATTTGATAAATTTAGGTACAGTAATTTACATTTAGTAATAAAATTATATATATTTAATGAAATTACAGGTATTTGTTCCAGATGTGTGAAAACATTACCATCTTCCAATTGCCGCATTTGCTGCAGAAGAGAGTATGAATGACTGAAACAAATAGTCAGTGTGATATGGGAAGTATACAGAATAAGTACTGTATAAATATAAAATACATTATGGTGCAGAAAATATGTCTGTTACAGTTACAACTATGGATTCCTCTGACATCATATTTGTGAACTTCTGCAAGTGCATTTTTTATGATGAATGAATAACTAGAGTAACTTGTAAAAGAATTATATATGTCTTAAGTGTATCATACTGTAGTGGACTTGTCATATTTTGATTATTTGAAATAAACTGGGACTACCATTGTCATGGATGAAAATAAGAAAAAGGAAAAGAAATCTGAAAGATATTATAATGAATTTTCAGATGAAAATAAATTTAACACTGAAGTAGAACATGTGGAGAGTAGGTTAAAAAAGAAAAAAAAGAAAGACAAGATACTTAAGGATAATCTAGTAAACAAGAAAAAGAAAAAGAAATCTAAAAGATACTCTGATGAATTTTCAGCTGAGCAGCAATGTAATGCTCAAGTAGAATATGGAGTGGGTAGGTCAAAGAAGAAGAAGAAGAAATATGAAGTAAATCCAGCAAATAAAGAAATGAATGAATATAATAATTGTAATAGTAATGGATGTATAATGAAATTGAAAACATCGGAGAAAGTTTCACAATTACAGCAAAACGATCTGATGTTAGATTCTAATATAAGTGACAGTATTTATGATGGAACTAAATTAAAAAAGCGAAAAATACAAATTTCTTCTCACTCTGATACCAAAGGACATAATGATGACTTAGATATTGAAAATTATTTATTGATGAGCAAATGCAAGAAACGCAAACTAACTCCATGTTTATCAACCAGCAATGCTCCAAGCGAATCTGAAGTAGAACATGTGGAGAGTAAGTTAAAAAAGAAAAAAAAGAAAAAAAAGTTTCTCGAGGATAATCTAGTAAACAAGAAAAAGAAAAAGAAATCTAAAAGATACTCTGATGAATTTTCAGCTGAGCAGCAATGTAATGCTCAAGTAGAATATGGAGTGGGTAGGTCAAAGAAGAAGAAGAAGAAGAAATTTGAAGAAAATCCAGCAAATAAAGAAATGAATGAATATAATAATTGTAATAGTAATGGATGTATAATGAAATTGAAAACATCGGAGAAAGTTTCACAATTACAGCAAAACGATCTGATGTTAGATTCTAATATAAGTGACAGTATTTATGATGGAACTAAATTAAAAAAGCGAAAAGTACAAATTTCTTCTCACTCTGATACCCAAAGACATAATGATGACTTAGATATTGAAAATTATTTATTGATGAGCAAATGCAAGAAACTCAAATTAACTCCATGTTTATCAACCAGCAATGATTCAAGCGAATCATCCAGCAAGGAAGTCATTAATATTAAAAACATCTCTGAAAGTTATTCAGCAAGAAAGAGTAAAAAATCCAAGAAAGATGACCCTTCAGGAGAAACAGATTTAAGAGAATCTACTTGTGACAGAACTATTAAGGAAAAGAAAAGGAAGAACAGACAGAATCCTGACCCAGGTACTGAAAGAAAGTTGACAGCTTGTGATGTGAGCAATAATAATTTTAGTGGTGAAGGAAATATTGATGAATTAACATCCTTTATGCAGGGTGATATTTCAGAGAGTATTAATTGCAATTTTAGAAGTAATATGTCATTTGCAGCAAGAGATCAGGAAAATAATTCTAGTCACAGTGATGGAAATGCTGCAAAACTTTTTGGTAATGTGATTAGTATGCCGGTAGATGACTTCGATTATGATGATGATGACTATGCTGAGCCGAAACATTTGAAAAAGAGGATAAAGAAAACAAAACCAATAGAAGATGTTGAACTTGAGGATGATGATCTTGAAGAGAGTGAAGAAGATGACTGCACAGACTTTACAGTTACTTCTCTATATAACACATCTTCATATAATAACCAAGAATGTGAGGCACCTGAATGTGGAATGCAGAGAGAAATTAAATACAAGAGTTTTGATGAACTTCTTTACAAGATTCCTCCAGGAGAGGGCATTCCTTTGGAAGACAGTGAAGAAGTTCCAGATGAAAAATGCTACTGGAAAAAACATAATGAAAGAATGATTGATAACTTTACAGAGGAAGAGATAGAACAGGAGGTAATGAATAAGATTTATTTTATTCATGACTATTTTAAAAGATTTGAAACTGGCAAGCTTACTGAGGAGGAGTTGAAGGAAGTGCGGCCAAGGAACTTTCATGAACCATATTTTCCAACACCAAAACACATGGAGGTGAGTACTATTATATATTTATGTATAGTACACCAAAAATTTCACATGGGCCTAAGGAGGGGATAAGAACCTATCCCCTCATAAGGCATATATAAGGCATGTGTGTGTTATTACATGCATTAAAGTACAGTATTATGAGCTTTTGAGACTTTTACCAAGTTATTAACTAGATTATATGTGCATATTGTATTTCTGTTTTTATTATTTCATATTTGAAAGAATTTCTTGGTTTTGTAAAGCTTGTGTATTATTACTTATATTTGTTCTGCTCTTTCAGTTCTTCAAAAACTTGGATATCAAAATAACTTGGCCCCTAAATAAGCTTCATGAATTCTGTCAAAATTGTGTTAGTAAGAAATATAATATTCATGGCATGGCTAGGAAAATGGGTTTCACTGTTTCCACACACAGTAGTACACATGAAGAAGATAAGAAGTTGTTAAGGAACTGGATCAAATTTCAGAAGGTATGTAAACTTTAATAAAAATATAATGATTAATTTTTTTTTACCAATGAAACACCTTATGGTTTTGTTATTGCTTAATTTTCTGTAGAGAGGCCCTCCAGCTCCCTGGAGCTATCAGGCTAATATGCAGTTCATTAGACCAGGGCATTAGTCAAAGCTGCCTGTTGGGTCACCGATACCTTTAACCCTTTAACTGCGCAACGCGCCTGCAGGCTCACGTCTGGGGTGTGCTACGCGCCTCCGGGTATTTGTATTTTTCACGTTCCATTCAAAACTCCTGCGGCTACATGGGGTTCACATCAGCTTTCTCAGGGCTCTTCTAAACAGATGGCATCTTTAAAAAAAATCGTGGTCCACGTTCCCGGGTGTGACAACCTCAGTAGTGAGTAAGCAACCAAGGCTGGCGGACGCAGCATGAGCTCACAGCACTGCTGTTCAGCTTGTGACTACAGCATCGCCAAATAATGTCAAAATATATATATAACTTGTTTTATTTAGCCATGATAGTATTACAGAAGAGCCTGAGTACTCACCTAGTTGTACTCACCTAGTTGTGCTTGCGAGGGTTGAGCTCTGGCTCTTTGGTCCCGCCTCTCAACCGTCAATCAACAGGTGTACAGATTCCTGAGCCTATTGGGCTCTATCATATCTACACTTGAAACTGTGTATGGAGTCAGCCTCCACCACATTATGTACTTCCTAATGCATTCCATTTGTCAACCACTCTGACACTAAAAAAGTTCTTTCTAATATCTGTGGCTTATTTGGGCACTCAGTTTCCACCTGTGTCCCCTAGTGCGTGTGCCCCTTGTGTTAAATAGCCTGTCTTTATCAACCCTGTCGATTCCCTTGAGAATCTTGAATGTGGTGATCATGTCCCCCCTAACTCTTTTGTCTTCCAACGAAGTGAGGTTCAATTCCCGTAGTCTCTCCTCGTAGCTCATACCTCTCAGCTCGGGTACTAGTCTGGTGGCAAACCTTTGAACCTTTTCCAGTTTAGTCTTATGCTTGACTAGATATGGACTCCATGCTGGAGCCGCATACTCCAGGATTGGTCTGACATATGTGGTATATAATGTTCTGAAAGATTCCTTACACAAGTTTCTAAAGGCCGTTCTTATGTTAACCAACCTGGCATATGCTGCTGATGTTATCCTCTTGATATGAGCTTCAGGGGACAGGTCTGGCGTGATATCAACCCCCAGGTCTTTCTCTCTCTCTGACTCTTGAAGTATTTCATCTCCCAAATGACACCTTGTATCTGGGGCCAGATTCACGAAAGCACTTACGCAAGCACTTACGAACGAGTACATCTTTCCTCAATCTTTGACGGCTTTGGTTACATTTATTAAACAGTTTACAAGCATGAAAACCTCCCATTCAACTGTTGTTATTGTTATAAACAGCCTCCTGGTGCTTCAGAGCTCATTAATTGGAAACAAAGCCGCCAAAGATTGAGAAAAGATGTACTCGTTCGCAAGTGCTTGTGTAATTGCTTTCGTGAATCTGGCCACTGGTCTCCTGCTTCTTACCCCTATCTTCATTACATTACATTTGCTTGGGTTAAACTCTAACAGCCATTTGTTCAACCATTCCTGCAGCTTGTCCAGGTCTTCTTGAAGCCTCAAGCTGTCCTCCTCTGTCTTAATCCTTCTCATAATTTTAGCGTCATCAGCAAACATTGAGAGGAATGTGTCTATACCCTCTGGGAGATCATTTACGTATATCGGAAACAGGATAGGTCCGAGTACAGAGCCCTGTGGGACTCCACTGGTGACTTCACGTCATTCTGAGGTCTCACCCCCTCACTGTAACTCTGCTTCTTATTGCTTAGGTACTCCCTTATCCACTGGAGCGCCCTACCAGTTACTCCTGCCTGTTTCTCCAGCTTATGCATCAACCTTTTATGGGGTACTGTGTCAAAGGCTTTCCGACAGTGCAAAAAAATGCAGTCCGCCCATCCTTCTCTTTCTTGCTTAATCTTTGTCACCTGATCGTAGAATTCTATCAAGCCTGTAAGGCAAGATTTATCCTCCCTGAACCCATGTTGATGGGTTGTCACAAAGTTTCTACTCTCCAGATGTGTTACTAGGTTTTTTCTCACAATCTTCTCCATCACCTTGCATGGTACGCAAGTTAAGGACACTGGCCTGTAGTTCAGTGCCTCTTGTCTGTCACATTTTTTGTATATTGGTACTACATTAGCAGTCTTCCATATTTCTGGTAGGTCTCCCATTTCCAGTGACCTACTATACACTATGGAGAGTGGCAAGCAAAGTGCTCCTGCACACTCTTTCAATACCCATGGTGAGATTCCGTCCGGCCTAACAGCTTTTCTCACATCCAGCTCCAATAGATGCTTCTTGACCTCATCTCTTGTAATTTCGAACCTTTCCAAGGTCACCTGGTTTGCTGCCACCTCTCGTAGTGCCATGACTTCTCCCTGTTCTATTGTAAAGACCTCCTGGAACCTTTTGTTGAGTTCTTCACACACCTCTTTGTCATTCTCTGTGTACCTGTCCTCGACCACCCTAAGTTTCATCACCTGTTCCTTCACTGTTGTCTTCTTCCTGATGTGACTGTGTAGTAGCTTTGGTTCGGTGTTTGCTATATTAGCTATATCATTTTCATACCTTTTCTCAGCTTCTCTTCTCACACTAACATCTCTCTCTACTTTCTGGTGTCCTGTTATTACGGAAATTCCTCCATGCCCTTTTGTTTAGCTCCTTTGCTTTCATACATTCCTTATTAAACCACGGATTCTTCTTTTGCTTCTCTGTTTTTTCCTGTCGGGCTGGGACAAACCTGCTTACAGCCTCCTGACACTTTTGGGTGACATAGTCCATCATGTCTTGTATGGACTTGGTTCTGAGTTCTGTATCCCAATGTATATCCCTTAGGAATTTATTCATCTCATAGTTTTCCTTTCGGTACACCAGCCCTTTGTTTCCCAGTTCTTTTTTGGAGGTGATAATTCCTAGCTCAACCAAGTACTCAAAGCTCAATACAATACCGACTGGGAGCCGGTCGGCCGAGCGGACAGCACGCTGGACTTGTGATCCTGTGGTCCTGGGTTCAATCCCAGGCGCCGGCGAGAAACAATGGGCTAAGTTTCTTTCACCCTATATCCCTGTTACCTAGCAGTAAAATAGGTACCTGGGTGTTAGTCAGCTGTCACGGGCTGCTTCCTGGGGGAGGAGGCCTGGTCGAGGACCGGGCTGCGGGGTCACTAAAAAAGCCCCGAAATCATCTCAAGATAACCTCAAGAAACACTATGATCACTCATTCCCAAGGGGGCTTCCAACTTAACTTCCCTTATATCCGACTCATTTATGGTAAATATCAGATCAAGCAAGACTGGTTCATCCCCTCCTCTCATTCTTGTCGGTCCCTTGACGTGTTGACTTCGAAAGTTTCTTGTTGCCACATCCAGCAGCTTAGCTCTCTATGTGTCTGGTCCTCCATGTGGGTCTCTGTTCCCCCAATCTATCTTCCCATGGTTGAAGTCTCCCATGGTTAGTAGTCTGGATCCGTTCCTGCTAGCCACAGAAGCTGCTCTCTCTATTATATTGATGGTGGCCAAGTTGTTTCTATCATATTCCTGTCTGGGTCTTCTGTCGTTCGGTGGGGGGTTATATATAACTACTACAGGGGTACCTCAGTTTAAGAGTTTAATTCGTTCCTGGAGACGGCTCGTACAGGTATTCCGAAAACTCGTATTCCGAAGCTAATTTCCCCATAAGAAATAATGGGAAATGAATTAATCCATTCCTGAATACCCCAAAAACCCCACATGAAACTAAATTTTTATACCTAATTCATCTAAATAAACCTAAAAAAACTATGTTCAAGTTATTACTTACCTTGCTGTTGAATGCTGTAGGCGGATGGAAGATGGTGAGGAGGGGGGAGGAGGAGAGGAGTTACTGTTTGGAAGGGGAGTTCCCTACCATTATCACATCAGGCAGTGAGGACCTTTCTGGTATGCTCTCCCTGGCATGTTTTATCTGAGTGCCACTAGGTCCTGGTTGAGGCTCACTGCTCGATTTTCTCACCACAAATCTGTCCATGGAAGCTTGCTTTTCCCTTCTTCGCAAGCTGTCTCTGTAGTAAGGCATCACATTGTCATTGAAAAGATTAAGGCAACGGCCTACTACAGCTTTCTCTGGGTGAGTCTTTTCAACAATTGTTTGAATCTCTTCCCACATCTGACACACCTTCCTAATTACTGCAGAAGGGACATTCGCTACTGCCTCATCCTCCTCCACTGTAGAATCATCAGCTGCGTTGTCTTGCTGTTCCTGTTGAAGGGCTTGGAGTTCTTCGGTGGTCAGTTCTTCGTTGTGTTCTTCCACCAACTCCTCCACATCATCATCATCCAATTCCAAGCCCATTTGCCGGCCCAGAGTAACAATTTCGTCAACAATAGGCGCATCATTTCCAGGCTCAAACCCCTCAAAGTCTAGTTCTCTCACACATTCAGGCCACAATTTTCTCCAGCCAGAGATCAGGGTTCTTTAAGTCACTTCTTGCCAGGCTTTGTCAATGAGTTTTAAAGCACTACAAATGTTAAAATGGTGTTTCCAGAACTCTTTTGAGGGTGAGGTTTGTGGCTTCAGTCACTTCAAAACATTTCCGGAAAAGTGCCCTTTCATAAAGTTTCTTAAAATTCGCTATGATTTTCTGGTCCATAGGCTGAATTAGAGGAGTGGTGTTAGGAGGAAGGAATTTAACTGTGAGGAATTTATTGTATCTGGGCAACAAATCATCTTCCAAGCCTGGAGGATGAGCAGGAGCATTTTCGAGGAGAAGCACGGCTTTGAGTGGCAAATGTTTCTCCTGCAGATATTTTTCTATGGCAGGGCACAGCACTTCATTCACCCACTCCGAAAAAATAAGCCTAGTCACTCATGCTTTTCTGGGGGGGAGCCCCGTCAGCTCCCCAGAGCTATCCAGGCTGAATGGATATGTATAACTTTCTGGCATCAGTCAATGCATGG